TTGGGAAGGTTGCAATTCTAGGTACTGATAGGTCTTGTCTTTGTTGGGTAGATATTTTGCTCCTTAGTTTCTCCCCTCTCTGGTTCTTAAGAGTATGTGATGGTTGTGTGTTACCTCGTAGGAAAGTCCTCTGGGATCCTGACATTTGTGGTCGCTGGGGTTTCTGGGTAAAATGTGTTGGGAGCTGACAGTTAGGAATTAGGTAGGACTCGGGGAGCATGCCTGAAAGGGTCCGGAGGAGGGGGAAAGCAGGGTGTTCCACCAGTATTTGCTTAGTCTCCTAGGAATGGGGGCAGAGAGTGAGGAGATGCCACAACAGGTAGTCTGCTCCAGAGCTGGGGAAGGGACTAGGGGATTTGATATGGAGGAGAGGAGGGAGACTGAAGATCTGAAGCTCATCTTTACCTGCTGAGCTGGCCTACTTGCTTTTCTGGCAGGCTTGGCTGGTTGTTTCCAGAGAATGCCTGCTGGAGTTGTGGCTGGTATAAGAGAATGAGTGGGAAGGAAGATCTACATGATCTGCTAGAGGTGAGGGTAGATAGGATGGGGAGGCCACAGCAGGCATTTAGCTACAGAGACAGGGATGTGACTGCGAGATTGAATTTGGATGAGGGTGTGGTGAAGATCTGAAGTTAGCCTACTTGCTTCCTTGGCCAGCACCCACACACATATTTGGTTCCCAGCACCCACATGTTCGATGACATCAGCTCCAGAGGATTGACACCGTCTTCTGGCCCATGAAGGCACCCCAATAAAGGTGGTGGCATACATGCATGTGCGTGCGCGAACACACACACACACACACACACACACACACACACACACACACACACGCACACACACAGAGAGAGAGAGAGAGAGAGAGAGAGAGAGAGAGAGAGAGAGCAAGAAGTTCATCCTGTCTATCAAAGCAAAAAATATTCACAGGTGAATGGGGAGAGATACAGATAGCCAGTTGCCAACCAAAGAATGGAATTTATACAAGAGCAATATATTAGTAACCTTGATACCCAAGTTTGGATTGAAGACATGTGATCTGGAAAGTGGAGCTTAAGGTGTTAGTTCCTTCACTGAACAAGAGTTTCTGGGAACAGATCTTTGGCCAGTTTATGAGATGGGACTCTGTTATTTGGAAAGCCTTATGCACAAGTGGAGTCCATTATGTGGGGAGAAGAAGGTGCAGGGTGGAGCTGCTGGATGATAGAGGAAAGTTAGGTGTGAAGACTGAGTGTAAAGAGGTGGAAGATTCTAAACTATAGAGAGTATAAAGTGGGTTAAATTGACAGGTGAGTAAAGAAGAGTGTTTGTGTATTGGGAGTGGTATATGGGGCTATCTGTAGTGTCCATGGCTTTGTGGTCATGTTGAACAGATTTAAGATCAGAGAGTAGACAAAGCTATGCTGTTTTTTTTTTTTCTTTTCTGAGACAGGGTTTCTCTGTGTAGCCTTGGAGCCTGTCCTGAAACTCACTCTGTAGACCAGACTGGCCTTGAACTTACCGAGATCAACTTGACTCTGCCTCCTGAGTGCTGGGATTAAAGGTGTGTGCTACCACCACCTGGCAAAGTCATGCTGTTTAATAAATGCTATTTGGGGAACTGAATATGTATGGGTGATTGAACAAAATATCATATAACAGCTGATCATGAAAGAAACAAACAACAATCTACTTGAGATGATGTTTCAATAGGGCAAATTACTATTAAACTTCTCATCATAAGTTAAATTATAAAGTAATAAAACCAGTGAAAACAATCACTGTGAAGTATCTCATGATGATTTATTAAATTTGGAAAAGTGGATCTAGTTAAGGTATGAACAGGAGTAGTAATTGATTGGATGAAAAGATTGGGAGACACGGGATGTTTCGTGTTCCCAGCCCCTCCTCATCGAATTCCCTGCTAACTAGCATCTCCACCCAGAGAGTGAACAGAGGAGGTGAATCAAACCTCTTTTATGTGCTTTCAGAACAGATGGTCTGAAGAGTAATGAGTCATTTTTTTAAACTGCAATTACCATTTGCAGTGTGGTTTGGGATTCACTGAAAATTTCATTTATTCATCTCATCCCAAGATTTCATTAGCGTGTATGATTGAGTCAAATTGATTTTAATTATTTAGTTGACCCTTTTAATTACCTCATTTTGCCTCTGATAATTTGTAGGCTTCCTGCAAATTTGTAATTTGACCACATCAAAGGAGCCATGTCTTCGGTAAGACAAGCCTGCAGAAAACCATAGCCATACAAGCCACAAAATCATGTTCTGAAGTTTTGGCAAGTTCATTTGGGGAGTGGATGAAATCCAAATAATTTTTTTTTTTTTGGTTTTTTCGAGACAGGGTTTCTCTGTGTAGCTTTGCGCCTTTCCTGGAGCTCACTTGGTAGCCCAGGCTGGCCTCGAACTCACAGAGATCCGCCTGGCTCTGCCTCCCAAGTGCTGGGATTAAAGGCGTGCGCCACCACCGCCCGGCCCAAATAATTTCTTTATTCATATTCTATTTTCAATATTAATCTTTCCATTTTGTATGCATCCTGTCTTAGTGGATTGCGTTAGGTATAAGGACCAAGCATGGACATGTAATGCCTCAAAGCTTTCTGCTCATTGCTTTCCTATGGAGGTGAAAATGCACATAGAATTGAGTCTTCTTAATTTTGTCTCATGTAGTTATTTACCTCCTTATTTGTATTTTTCAGTTTTGTGAAGTGAGTATTCTGTGTTATGCAAGGGCTTTGTTTCTGCAAGCATACTGTGAAAATATTAACAGTCATAGCTGACACTCCTGTCATCTTCTATGCATGCTCACTAACAATGAGTAACCATGGCATGCATAACACTGCTCAAGGCCCTTTGCTCTCAAAGTTGCCCACATATAAAGGTGTTAAAATTACTTGATATATATATATATATATATATATATATATATATATATATATATATATAACCACAGCTTAGAAGAAGAATAATTTTCCCTTCATAGTCAAGGAAGGAAACTTTAGATAAGAATGTTGTGTCAAAACAGATAAAGGAAGAATACATTAAGTAAAGGTGTAAAACAGGAAAATATCAAGAGATAAAGATGCTGATAGTGTCTTATAGTGGTCTATTTTCTCTATATCAACAAAGAGCATTCCCTTTAAATTTTAGAGTATAGGGTATATAAGAAGGCTCTGGATCCTAGTTCTTTAAGTGAGTTCGATTCCCTTCACCCAAAGCTTCTTACTTTATTCTATAGAGCCTGAGGGCCACCCATTTGATGTGACTTTGGATGACCAAAGGCAGAATAAGATCTACTTTCTCTTATAGACTCTTCTTACTACATGCCTGAGCGTCCACAGGAACACAGAGGTTTCTTGCTGCTATCTTTCTTTGGTAACTATTTTCATTTTCTTGTTTATAAATTTTGAAGAAAGGTTTTGAAATGTTGACACAAACTCTTACAACAGTGATAACATCAGGTTCACATTAGACCACCCTGCCCCCTTTCTTTTTCAGACAGTTTCTCTTTAGGAAGCCCAGGCCAGCCTCAACTTTGTAATCTTCCTGGTTTAGCTTCTGTAGTCCTGGAATTACACATATGCATCACCACATCTGGCCTAACTGAAGTATTGTTTCCATTCAGCAAGATCATTGGTCAGAGCTGTTTACTAACCCTGCATGATGATAATACCTGAGCTTAGAAAATCCTGATGAGTTTCCAGAGGAGTGTTTATAGACGAATACCATGGTTTCAGTCCCAGAGCTCCAACTAAAACTTCACTTTGGAACAGCCAATCGTTTGATGATTCTTTTGCACTCTACTTTCTTCCAGTGTGGACAGAACACATTAGGGGAAATTTCAGTCTAGACATTTTGAGTCTGCAATTCGGGTCCTGGTAGATCAATAGTAAGTAAAGCTAATGTGTAAAGAAATATTTGTTCTTATCCTTTAGAGAAAAATTGACACTAGAGGAATTTGGCATCCTCGAGTGTTTTAGATTTTTACAGCTACTTGTTCAAAATTAGTGAGCTATAGAGATTATATTAAATATCTAAAAATCTATGGCTACATTTCTCTAGATACAAGAATATACTCCGATTCTCACATCTTAGGTTACCTAAAGTTGTAGGGAGACTTTTAAAAATTCCCTTTCATGTCATTTAAAAATATGTGTTAATTTTTTTTCAATCATAAAAATTCCAAAGAACATTCAAAATGATCATTGCTAAGGTAGGAAACTTTGAAAGTAAAAAAAAGTTTTCATTTAATATTAATTTTTAAACTTCCTCTTTATATTTTTGTTGTTGTTGTTTTTATGAGGCTTATCATCAGTGGCATGGGTTAAATGGTCAGTAGTGTGCTTGTTTTAAGCAAATAGAAGTTTCTGAGCAAAATATGATCATTTTCATGAAGATATCCTACCATATCATTTTATTTCTGAATACATTTACAACAAAAGAAAAATATAAAACAAAAAAAACTGGTGTTTCTTAATAGCTAAATCTGATACAAGTCCGAAAACATTTTGCCATTTTTGCAACCTCCAGAGCTACACCAGGGTTCTTTGCATGGAATGATAAATTATCTGCAAAGCATTGCCATGTGGAGAGAAAGGGAGACTGACCAGCAGCACCACCTTGGGTGAACTTGGGTCAAATGCACTGCACATGACTGTCTTCTGACTGGAAATACTTATTAAGTAGACAGCAGAGAACAATGTACTCAGCTGCATGCCCCAGCAGAGGGGCAGCTGTGTCATGCCAAGGAAATAGCTGTTTCCACCCTCCCAAAGGCAAGATAACCCATAGCTTACATTCACAAAATTCCTTTTTGTTCCTACTGGTTTCTGTTTATAAAAAACAAATGCTACAGTATTGGCTGATTACATCCATCTCATTTGTAACTTTCTTACCTCTACCCTACTTGCATTTTTTCTGGAAAAGCACACTAAGCATTTTGTTTCAGAGACTTCAGTACAGGATAGAAACTACCAGAAAGACAAAGACAAGTGTTTTCCCCTCACCTTCTCTTCTCTTCCCTTCTCCTTCCTCTAGTCTTGTTTGATTCTCCAGGAGGCTCAGTCAGCTACTTTGGTGCCTCCTACTTTGACTTCTTCTTTTTCTCCTGGGAGAGGCACAGACTCAAGTTGAAAAGAAATATAAAGGAAAGGAAGAAGATAGGTTAAGAAATGGGAGATACGGGCTATGATTCCTCAGCAATGTATCTGATTCTCATCTGGACATGAATGAGAAGAAAGAGGCATTTTGAAAAGAAAAATGCATTCATAAAATAGTTAAGGTGTATTAGATAGCTGCTATATTTGAGTTTCTGAAAATAAATACGACTAAAAAATAGGGTTGTGATGAGTAGAAACTACGGCTCTGCAGTCGTCACTAAATGGCACTGTTTGGGTCTGTTTTGTTTTATATGGGAAATAGTAAGGAAACATGTCTCGGTGTGGACTTGAATGACCTGATTCATGGGAGTTAGGCAGCAGTGGGAACTGGGCACTGAACAATTTTAATCCAAGTCATGATGAAATCAGGGCTATAGAAAATCTCCACAGGCTCTATGTTAGAATACACGACTGACTGAGTAAAATGTCAGAGTGCTTGATACCGCAAAGTAGACTTTCCTGGGAACTGGACCCTTCCTGGGGGTCTGTATCATTTACATTTCTAACTGAGACTGTATTGTTGTTGCAAGTTTTGACTGAATTCCCAGGAGTGTCCCGTGCTGGTCCACGGCAGGATCTCACGTCACACTGCCTTGCCTCTTTGTACTGCCGCCTGTGTTATTTAATTGGAAAAGTGGGGCTGGTGGGGCTCTGAGCATCAGGTGATGCTGACATTTGGTGGGCACTGGGGACATGGCCATCAGGAGATTCAGTCTTCCAACAGCTTCTTCATTTCAGTGGGAACAGTGGCACAGGAGTGTTGCTGGGTTTTGCCTTTATTTAAGCACAAGACGTTTCTTATGGCCTTGAAGATAAGGCTTTCTTCTATTGCCTTCCCCCTTTTCTTGATTTCACGTGGGATTGCTCTGAACTCTCAAACTCTGTATATGACCCTTTAGGTCTCACCTGACTAAAAGAGTCATAAGCTTTGAAAGAATTTCTACAAAAAAGAACTACCTTGAGTTCTCTGCTGTATATTCCTTATAGCTCTGTATTTTTAAAATATTTGTAAAAGGACACAAATGTACATTCATAAACACACACACACACACACACACACACACACACACACACACACACACATCCACCAAGAGCTATGACACACACACATCCACACAGAGGATGCACAAAATTCTATATTACCCAGTTTGTTGTAAAAGTTTACTGGATCTTTTTCTTTATGTGACATAAATTCCTTTTCTTCCTCACCACTGTGTCTCTGAAATGTTGATGTTTGACTGCCAGTTGGTCCATATGCTCCCTACACAACAATGTGACCTTCAACCCTCAATATCCTCCTCTGCAGTAAAACAGAAATCTGGTACATGTTCATAAATACCAAAAAAAATGGATTTCCTGTGAAAACAAACATGTTTATTATGAGGTGACAAAGTGAATGGTCACTTTGTTTTTATTTCCAGAGAATTTGCCAAATACTTTTTAGCAGGAAAAGGTTTCTTTGATGAAAAAGGAAAATAAAAAAGGAAATAGAAAGGAAGGACATGGTCCAATATTTTAGTATCATTGTGTTTTAAAGAACAACAATAACAATTGTGGAATTGGCTATGAAAACAAAAGTAATTTAAAACATCCATTTCAAGATTACTGGTTGCTGATCTTCAACCTTTATTGTACATTGTTCTATATCATTTAAATAAATGATAGGCATTATTTTTATTCAAAAAAGATTTTTATTTTTCATTCACAGAAAAGCTGAGCAGAAAGTATGAGGTGTCCTGTTGTGATCCTTCCTTCCCACACTCTGATTTTCAGCCTCACTTATACTCTGCGTCAGTGTGTATTCTGGAGACACTGGTGGGCCAATGTTCATACACCCTTACTACAGAGAAACCCACAACTTACATTAAGGTCCATTCTTTATATTGCATGGTCTGAAGATTACAACAAATGTGTAAAGGCCTATCTACCAGCATAGCAACATATCACATGTTTTCCCTGTGTCCCTCTGCCCACTTTTTTTTTTTTTTTAAAGGATTCTGGAACCACTGAATTTGACGCTGTCTCTAGAGATTTTTGATTTCTAGGATGAAAACTATTTGTGAGTACAGAGTGTCTAGCCTGTCTGTATTGGCTATTTTGATTTCAAATACACATTTAGAGGTCCTCTGTTACTTTTTACTCCTTTGATGTCAACCTTTGCATTGCACGGTGTGCTATTTGTCTATACAATCATCTATCAAAGATCATTTCTGTTGCTTTCATATTTCCAGAGATGCAAATCAGATTCCATAAACATGCACATACAGGTCTTCATGTAGACATGACTTTCTAATTCCTGTTGATAAACACCAAAGAGCATATTTGCTAGATCTCTGTTAAGAATGTCTTCAACTCTAGCCGGGCGTTGGTGGCGCACGCCTTTAATCCCAGCACTCGGGAGGCAGAGGCAGGCGGATCTCTGTGAGTTCGAGGCCAGCCTGGGCTACCAAGTGAGCTCCAGGAAAGGCGCAAAGCTACACAGAGAAACCCTGTTTCGAAAAACCAAAAAAAAAAAAAAAAAAGAATGTCTTCAACTCGATAGGATCTGGCAAACTTTCTTCCAAAGTGTCTCATACAATATTATCATTAGATTTTGGACATATGAGTCTTTACATATGAGTTTTTATAACATATTAACATCCAGTCCATAGTGTAGATCTACTTAGATTATCAGGTTTTCCTTACATGTGAGTTTTTAATAGATTATACATTTTAAGAAATTGTTCTATTTTATCGAGCTTGCAGATATAAGTTTTTGGTATGTTTTTAATTATTTATGAAATTGAAATATAATTATACCATTTATACAAAGAGTATTTCCCTTTCCTCCATCGAAGTCCTCCGATGTACCATCTTGTGCTCGCATGATTTCAAATGCTTGGCCTCTGCATCTCTTCTTTTCATAGATAGATAGATAGATAGATAGATAGATAGATAGATATATAGATAGATAGAATGATAGATGGTAGGTAGGAAGAGATAGATAAATGATAGGTAGATAGAGATAGATACGTAGAGAGATATGATAGATAGACAGATGATAATTAGATAGATAGATAGATAGATAGATAGATAGATAGATAGATAGATAGATAGATAGAATCCTGCTCAGTCTGCATAATGTGATTTTCTTGTTTTGCTTTGTTTCTTTTTTGAGACAGGGTTTTTCTGTGTAGCCCTGGCTGTCCTAGAACTTGCTCTGTAGATCAGGCTGGCCTCAAACTCACAGAGATCCACCTACCTCTGCTTCCCGAGTGCTGGAATGCTGGGATTAAAGATATGTGCCACCACCAGCCAGAGCATAATATATTCTTGTATATACATGATTTTAGCACTGAAGGATTAACCATTTGGCACTAGATAACCTACTGGGCTTGGGGAGTGCTATTTCTTCAGCAAAGAACTATAGGCAACTAAGATATAGAGTTTTTAAAATAATATGACATGTGCATTTTCTTCTTAGAGTGCTCTAGTTACTGATGTAATAAATATGTAGGGGTTTGTACGTTTGTGAGTACAGAATTTTTTTAGAGAAATTATAGTTTATTCAATGGCAAGCATGTAATTTTTTTCAACATCTCAAATATCTGTCTTGTGAGCTCGTATCAGACACAGAATATTAAACAATGTATTATGAAGAATAAAGCATTGTTTATAAAATATGAAGATAGGCAGCTCTGGTAAATTGTATGATTTCTTGGCTTCATCTTTACAATATTTTTAAAAAGATAATCATCATACATCTTTAAGTACATCTGCACATTGTGCACTAGTCAACTGAACTGAAGTTACTGATAATCTCAAACATTCATCATTTCTTAATAATGAGAAGTCTGAAAATTCTTTGTTTTCAGTATCTTAAATTATACAGTACAATATTATTGCTTATACTCACTTTCTGTACAACAAGCCATGAGATTATCTCATTCTGGTTAGAATATATTATTGAAAAAAACAAAATATAAATTTTGGCAAAGCTGTGAAGAAATGAAAAATTTAATACACTGTTGGTAGAAATGCAAAATAGTATAGTCATTAATAAAAAACAGCACATCTTTTTGCTAAAATAAAATAAATGTGGAAGTGCTACATGATCCATTGCTGAGTATATACCAAAAGCAAATGAAATCAATTGGTACAGAAATGCCAATCATTTTAAAGAATTTACTTTCACACTTGTTTTTGTCTTTCTTTTTAACATTTTATACACTCATTTTCAGCCTTTCTTTAATTAGTCATTTTTATATTTGAATATATGCTTAAATTTTATATATTTATGTGTTATATGTCAGAATAAGCATATATGTATGTATGTATGTATGTATCTTCTGTCATTGACATTTATGTCAAATGACATAAAATATCTGTCATTTCTCAGACTGAAACATTCACTCATTTCTTCTGGCTTTTATTTCAGTCATGTTTCTTGAACATTTTTTGTAGAAGGATTGAATTTTCTTCCATCTACCCTGTATAACAACTAGAGGGTGTTTTTGACAATACATTACAGCAGACTCTTTTATTTTAAAAGTTGTTATTCTAATCAAGTTTATTATGTATTCAGACACTAATTATACTCTTCAGTGATTTATCACACTTGTAGGCATGTGAAATTCAGTCTCCATATGAGAACAAGAAATCTTGGTTCTCTTGTTTGACATGGAATTAGAATAGCTTTTTGTAAGGACCCCAGCAAGAAACTGTAATTGTCAGATGAAATCAAAATTTCCTTCACTGTAAACCAGGTCTCCTTTTGGGAGCATTGGCACTGTGGCAAAAGTGGACTTACAGATATTGGCAGATACCACATAGTTCATTTCAAGATATGATTTGGATGTGGGATAATGGACTGCTAATATGTTCACAATGACCAGAAATCCCCAGGGATCTGTGGAAATTTATTTTTCTGGTCAAAGTAGAAGGAAGAGTAATAGCTCTTTAGACTACA